CAAGACCCTCAAACAGCTAAACCAGGAGCTAAACCAGGAATAAAAAACCAGGATTAAACCAGGACTAACAACGAGGGACACAGTGTGAACATATTTCTCCAGCCTCATCGCCCCGTGACTGTAAACAAGGCTGCTAAGGTTGGTTAGCCCACACGACAAATATATTTATTTAGGTTAAAAAAAAAACTCAATACATATCGTTATCGACCGATATGAATGACTTATATCGTGATATAGTTTTCAGCCATATCGCCCAGCCCTACTATCAAGTGCAATGATAGCTCCAGAGTTTCATTATTATTATTTTATTATAATTATTATCTTAAATAATTTATTCTGTCTGATGTGTATAATCTGAGTGCTCCTATTTCCTCCTTTTATTCTGCTGCAATGTGCGCAACGAAGACATGTGGGACAAATAAAGGCTTATCTTATATAAACACAACACGTCTTCACAACTGAAAGACTGCGTAACTATCGCACAAACCAGTCTGTACTTTCGCCAGTGTTTTACCGTGACATTTTTCTTTTCTGCGTGATTTAAAAGTATAATATATGAACTGTTCCAGAAGTATGGGGGCGCTCAGCAGAAAGTTGGCATAATTAATCAAATGATCTCTGGGTGTGAACTTTGCAGTGGGTTATGCTAAAGACCAATCAAGAACACTCAGAACCTCGAAGCAGATGGTCGCGCGGTACAAAGTGTGCTTTATTAGGCACAACGTGTAACTAATAAATCGGCCAGTCAGTGTATGAAGAGATTAACAGCTCAATTGTGCTAATGTCATTCTGGAAGTTACAATGCTAATACCAGATGTGGTTAGCGCAAACACATATTCATGATTTATTGTTCCGGCTACGTCTGTCAATATTTCGTATCGAGAATCCTAAAGGGACTCGATGGACAAGATTTGATGGATTTGACAATGTATTTTTTATTTTTTTATAACCTTACCTGTTACAATACTGACTAATCATTATGTCCACGATAGACTTCACTCAATACAGTATGTGGTGTACTTTGTTTTTGCAGTAGTGTTGTGATTCTGATTATATAATGATTTGTATTTTATTTCATTTTACCATCTGATTGCTTACTTTTATTTTAAGGTTATTATCTAATATCTTGAATAATAGATCCTGTTTGATGTGCACAATCTGAGCGCTCTCATTTCCTTCTTTTTCTCTGCTGTAATGTGCGCAACAATGACACTGAAATTTTCCCATTGTGCGAAGAATAAAGGTATATCCTATCTTATCTTAATTATTTCTTTTGTAAGTTGGTGTAAGCTCTTAGTCGTACAGAGAATAGTCAAAGCAAAGGAAGGTTTCTCACCCATCATCTGTACTTCTTATTTCTTTTGTAATATTTCAGCAGGAGTAATGACTTAAACCAGTGATCAATAATTAGAACATTATAAAGTAAAAAATATTGATCTTTTTTCATTTCCCTCTTTAAGTGTATTTATTTGAGCAACTATGATTGGTATTTGCTTTTATACAGTAACAAGATTTTTTTTTTTTAAGAAAATAGCTGAAACACAGTTGGACAAAGAATGAAAGCTTATAAGTGCCCTCCTTCAAACTGTTCTCTAATGAAGGCCGGTACTAGAACATGTGCATTCATTAAGTCACGTTTTTATCAGTAAGCAAAGACAAAGACAAACGGTAATGTGAATAAAATGGACTGGCACGTATGGACATATGTGAGGTGAGGGCAGGACGCTGGACAGGAGAGTGGAGTCAGTTACGATAATGAGAGCAGGCAGATAACACATGCCTTTCTGTACGCCCCAGATCACACACAAACACACACACGCACAACACACACACACAACACACACGCACATGCATACGTACGTAGGAGAGCGCTGAACCATGAATTTTAATCCCAAAATGATGACTTTTCAATGTAAGTCAATAGGAGCTAGAGCAAACACTTTGTCCATGAGCACTTCAATATTGGTATTCATTTTGATAGCAGGCTAGCATTGCCCATCTATATACAGTCACTCTACATATTATAATAACTGCTCGTTAAATTGATGAAGTTTTCCGCAGTTTATTACAAGGTTGTTTGATCCTGGACATCCTGAGCGTCATATCAACCAGGAAGTAAAATTAAAAATGTAAAAATGTACTGATGACAGCTGTGTCTATGAAAAGTCAGGTCTAAAGGGGCGTTCACACCGGGCTTAACCTCGGTGTCAAAAGCGTCAGGTTTGCATTGCGGCGTCACTTGGCGCGCGTCAAAAGCTTTTTGAATCTTTTGGTCTGAACGCGCCTTTAGATGCCATATGCACGTTAACATGCAAGGCCAAATCTGTATGAGTAAACGTAAATATCGTTCATTTTGACAATGATTTCTTTGATCTTAAGTGTTGATTATCAGTACCTTTGCTTGAGAACTTAATGTGTGTGTTTTCATGGTTAAAGGTAAATAATTTCTTTATTCCCATTCATGCAGTAAAGAACACCATTTAACATTATGACAGAAATAATTTTTACAAGTGCAGCAAGAATGAAGTTCACAACAGGACACAAAACCTCCACAGAAAGAGCTCCACATTAACCACTCCTACAGTATCTGGAAAATTCCACAAAGGGGAGAAAATATTATACGTCAAGGAAGCAAAATACATCACAGAGTCACCGGCTCCATGCGGACAAAGCTGACAAAATACTTTTGCTGATATGACTGGAATTGTCTCCGTCTGGACAAGGCCTTACATTTTTCATTTGTTCCACAAACATTTCTGCCAAAATTATCTATGTTTTTTCTGGCAAAGTTCTTTCATCAAACTAAAGGAATGGCTTATTTCTTGATAATTGCTTTTGAGCATTCAAAGTATATCAGGCCTGGGACATTCATTACAATTCTCTCAGATGAATTGGATTCGTTTATGTGTGGACAGATACATGTACAAAGCCGGTTCAGTCTTTACACAATAGGATTTCCAAAAGTAAGACCCGTTTCGTCTTTGTGTGGACAAGACTTCAGTCCTTGTTTGTTGTTGCCGTTTATTTAGGCATAAAGGGCTGCACGATTATTCACAATCAAATCAAAATCACAATGTGTGTGGTCGCAATCAGAAAAACACAAAGACTGCAATGATTTCAGTTCTTTGTGAACAAAAAAGGACGAGCAGGACCAACCAAAAATAACTAATTTGATTAGATTTTTTTTTTAAAGTGCCTTTCTTCTCATCTTTTTTTAAAAACTGTGTGAGAAATTCAATCGTTTAACTATATTTAACATTTTTGTAGTGAATCTTTAAATTGTACGAGAAATGGTTGTCCTATAGGTTAGAATTTTATTTCTGACTAAATTTCCTGAACTGTGTGGGAACGTACGCTTTTTCAAATGGAACTCTCGTAAAGATGTAATGTTTCCTCCGTAAAAAAATAAACTTAAACATACGGGATATAAAACATCAAAGCCAAGTTGGTCAGAATTATCACAATTTCAGTTTACTAGCACATCTGTATACAAGCCACACCAGATAAATTTAAAATGTAGTAATTATAATAAAACATTTATTTAAAAATATATAAATTAAAATGTTTTTGAATCAGTATAATTTTTTTAAAATAAATGTCGAACACTTGCAAGGTTATGTTGTAATATAACACTTAAAGGCACACCGCGGACTTTGTGACCTAAAGAGTTGACACATATGAGTTATTTTATATGAATACTTGGGCCAATATACAGCGCTTGACACTTGCAATGCTCCGAGCGGGGCTGCCCTCTTGAAATACCGACCATGTAACTTCAGCGCAGACGGACCGTCTCCCACCAGATCACGTGACTTGGGAGAAAGACTTGCTTTACGGCTACAGGCGCTGATATACTCATGGAGCTAAGGCTTTTGCTACTCATTTTCCACCTGCTCGACTCCTGGTCATGGCTGAGGCAAGGAAAAAGTTTAAACCTTCGGAGGAGGCTAAAAAGAGGAAACGCGAAAGGGATCGTGCTCGAGGAAAAACAAGGGTCGATCTAGGAATGGAGTTTGCTCGTTGGCGCAGGTTGAAAGAAGAAGCTGGATGTAAATCTGATTCTGTTTTTTCAACTTCGTTGTTAGACTGGTAAGTGAAGTCTTTGCTCCTAGTATACAGTAAAATGTCTTTGTCATTATTTTCGCTGTTTAGTAGAAGCAAAATACGGGCAGACGAAGCTAACAGGCTACAAACCAAAGCTAACGTGTGTAGCGCTACGTGTGTAAATCTCAGACATTTCGCATATGTAACAGATTCCTACTTTCATAAAACTAACTTGGTTGTGGTAATTCTATACCCCCATGATACTGCTTTGCTGATTCTATTTGCACGTAATTATACTGTGGATGTGTTTGCCTAACTAGGGCTAACAAGCTAACAGGCTGCTATTAGCCCATCTACCGATTCAATGAAATACCAACACTTTTAATTTATAGGCATACTGTATTATTGCACCGGTTTGTTATGGCCCATTTTGCCTGTGCTGTTGGCATTGCTTTCATACAAGGACTTGTCTTTTTGTTTAGTTACGAACGGAGAGGTGTAGCAACATCGACACCATACAAAGGAGAGGGCACAGCAAAACCTGGACCACCAGTATCAAGTCTTACAGACTCTTCGGATCATGACAGGTTTGCACTATGTTTTAGCTGTAGACAGTTTGTGGTACAAATCAAAATATTCATTCAAAGAGGTATAATTATAAGACACTGATGACAATGCTATTGATAAAAATAATTATGCTTTGCACCTGCACAAGCAGATTGTACATAAACTAATAGAACTATAAAGACAAACCAGAGCTTCAGTGATATTATAGCTCAACATTCTTTTCTACTTGTGTAGGGGTAAAGAAATGGTCCTTTCAGGTGTAGAGGAGTTGATCACAGCAAGTGGAAAAGTTGACGTGCTTGAATCAAGGTGAGTCCATTACATAATAATCAATCATTTTGTGAGAAGAATATACTCATATTTGTTTATTTTTTATTATTTTTTGCAGTATGCACTCGTTGGCAATTTCTGAAAAACATGATGACGACCTAGAGGCTGCTAATGATTTGCAGAATAGTATGTAAGTGCTTTACATTGTGTGCAAATTACCCTTTTCCTTTTTGTATGTATAAAGCGTGCATTTCAAGACCAATATGTATTTTTCTGTGTAGGATTGAGATGGAGGAAGCTGTTTGCTGGGAAGATGACGACTCTGATGAGGATTATGTTCCTTTCCTCTATCTACGGTATGTGCTGTTCATAAATTACTTATCGTAATTTTCCACTTGTCACAAAATATATAAAGCTGTTTAATGACACTGACTCCTCAATGTTATTGTAACAGATCTACTGGAGCTTCAAAGGCAGAAATTGACAAGCTTCATGAAATACACATAGATGAGGCTGTGCTGGATGTAGAGGAGGTGCCCATAGTTCCTGAAGAAGATCAACACATTCCTGTAAGACACAAGGTTGAGACTGTAGAGGACCTCGTAGGAAAGGAAGCGAGCATCTGCTACAATGACAACTTGCTCTCTCTTGCAAGGTATATTAATCTCTAAGACCTATAGCTACTATCTTATGCCAGCCTCTCATTTCCTGTTTTACTTTTCAAAGGTACATGCAGTTGCCTGTACAGTTGTGTCAGTTCCGAGATCCTATTTTGGGGACACTATGCAATGGAAGGCCTCCTTTTCATGTGCAATTAAAGCCCAGAGGGACTGGTGTCATTCTTGAATGGGTAAGTGTAAATGCAAGCACCACCATTGTTTAGAGAACGACTTTCGGGGGAGCCTGGAAAAAGGTGTCACCTGATGTGGGGGTGTTGGTAAAGGTTGTGAGAGAATGTATTGAATTGCTAATTGCTTTGTTCGTCTTTACTTAGGTTTGCCCTCACGGACACACTATTTGGCATTGGAATTCTCAGCCACTCCTAAAATTTGGAATGCAAGGAGGCGATTTCATGCTGTCAACAAACATTCTTCTCTCTGGAAACAACTACAAAAAAATCCATCTCCTTTACAAATTTATGTGTATGGGAATGGTTGCAGAGACTACTTTTTTTGCCATACAGTCTGAATACTGCCTAAAGCCTGTAGAGGAGCATTGGAAAGAGAGTAGAGAGAAGGTGTTGAACAAGCTTCGACAAAAGACTGAAGTAGTTGTACTTGGTAAGTGTCATTTTCATGTTTGCTTGTCAATATGTGTCATTGTTGGGAAGCAGATTACATTGCTATATTTCAGTTGTATCTTTTCTCTTTTATCAGGTGATGGCAGAATGGACTCCCCTGGTATGTGATGCTATACAAAAATATTCCCATGTGGAAAAAAACTCTTGTTACTTACCAAATGTTTATTTGTAGGCCACTGTGCACAATTTTGTACATACACCATGATTGAGCACGAGACCCGTGACATTGTGCACATTGTGAGCGAGGACAAAAGGAGATTTGGCAGGAATTCGGTCATCTTGGAGAAAGTCTGTTTTGAAAGTACAATGGACTGCCTTCTCAACGAAATCCCTATAAAAGAAGTAGTGACGGATGCTCATGTACAAATATCTGCCTTGCTCGGTAAGTATATTTCACACTCAATCAAACTTCTCATCCAAAAATAATTTAACTTAGGAAAATATATTATCTTCAGATCCAGTACGTGGAAAATACAAGGATTGGAGTTTAACCCATTCGCTGGATGTCTGGCATGCTTCCAAAAATCTTGGAAGGAAGCTACGCGAAGTAAGTCAAATTGCCACAATTACCACTGTTATTTGTTGAATGATTTAATCTCAAATAGGAAAAGACCTTTGGTACAAAGTCATTCTCATAAATGTATTTTGTTATCAGGCAGCAAAAGGCAAGGAACATTCTGTGTTGATGCATTGGGTAAAGGATATAGTGAACCATTTCTGGTATTGCTGTCAGCGTGCAAGTACTGTAGAGCAGTTTAAGGTACGTGAATAACAAGAGATACTCAAAGTGTGTGCCATTTTCAATTGTTATCTATCAATGCTTTTATTTTACAGATACTGTGGCATGGAGTACTACATCATGTACGCAATGAACACACATGGGCCACAGGGTTCTGTGAGCATGAGCCATTGGATGACAGCAGTCAAGATAAGCCGTGGATACAGCAAGGTAACATGGAGCATTTTGTTTCACTCATTTAGAACATTTTATTTTGTAAAACTTCATGTTGAAATACAGTAGCTGTATCATAACTTCCTTGTCTTGCAGGTTCTGCTGCTCATCAGACCCTGACTGCTATTGTTTTGAATAAACGCTGGCTTAAAAATGTGAAAAAGTACATAACATTCAGGTATGTTTGTGCAGTTTATCTATTTTTTTCTCTATCCTTTTGTTGCTTTGGATAATGTAAATGCCATAATGTAATGCTTTGGATAATGTTAATGGCATAGACCACCACTAATTTCAATCTAATTTTTACAGAACTACGTCAGATTTGGAGAGTTTTCAGAACCATATTCTGATGTATGCAGGGAAGCGCTTTGCCTATAAGTATCAAGTGTACAGAACCAGGGTTTTCCTTGCTGCAATAGATTACAACTACCACAATGGTCGAGAACATAGACGCAACAGAAAAGGAGAAAAAATGTATGTATTTTTACTGTACACAATTTTAAATTTATTGTTTGGAGGGTAATACTATGTGGTATTCTGTGTTTTACAGTTACAGACGGTACTACAATAAGAAGTCAAAAAACTGGAGTGTGCATGTCACAAAGGAGGCCAAGACGTATGCCTACATTCCCGACCTTCAGAAGGCAATTCTTAGGAGAAGATTAGAGAGTGGGTCAGGCCTTCCTCGAAGAAGAACCCTTTCAGAAGATGACCCTGAGCGCCTTGGACTGGTTGGCACAGCGGACACACCACCCCCCACTGCTGAACTTGTGGCAAGACACACTTCCCGGGGAGCAATGGCTCTACTAATGGAAGACTAGGACATTTTGTTTTGTAACTTTTTTTGTTCATTCTTTATTTGAATAAAATGTATGATAAGTTTTATGCTGTGCATAATATTTTCCCTAAATAACTAAAGTCTACTTACAAAAATGTAAACAATTGTAAAATCTTGTTGAACTACAAAAGAAATACAACACGTATTTTAATATGTACACATTTTTATTGATATTAATAAGTCATGGAAGCCGGCGCACTCTAAAACCTGTGTATTGTCCATTAGTGTCTGGATACTTGGTCCTAATGCGCCACACAACACAGCTTGGTATGACCACCCTATTGCCCTCCCCTAATCGCCCATGTTGCCAGAGCACAAAATTCCTATAAGCTGCATGTCTGTATGAGCGCTGCTCTTCACCTGGTTCCTGGCTGTCATCGACTGCAAAGATGTCATTCCACGCAGCACGAGCTAGACGCAGAACTCCCTCATCCAGGATATAGAAGTCCATGTGTACATTTGTACTAATGCAGTCGTCTGGAGGCTGACTACAGCAGAGTCTCTCAATATCTGTAGGCATGTCTCTACAGTTTGTACACACACACCAGTGCATGCGCCCAGGTACAGGAGGTGATTGAGGAGTGTCCTGCAGTGCAAGGAGATCAAAAAGCAGTCCAGGCAATCTGTCTAGCACTAATTGGAGCAGGGCATCTCTTTGGTTTGCTTCAAGTGATTGTAGTCTGGCCTAAGATGCATAAAACACATTTGTCAACATAGTAGTCTATAAATTACAGTATAAATAATAAATTGATAAGTGTACACATACCTGCATATCAGCTCTCCTCCTCTGTTGAAGATCCTCGAGCCTTTCATAGTCAGCTGTAGATGGTCTGCTGCTGCTTCTTCTTCCTCCTCCTCGTCCTCTCTCCATCCCGCTCCCCCCGCCTCTCCCTCGTTGTCCTCCGCTTCCACCGCGTCCACCTCGTCCTCCCCCGCGTCCACCTCGTCCTCCCCCGCGTCCACCTCGTCCTCCCCCGCGTCCACCTCGTCCTCCGCCGCGCCCACCTCGGCCCCCTCGTCCTCTCCATGTTTCGGGAGGGGATTCGGAAGATTCATCAGGCGGTGAATAAATTGATGATGATGATGACTGAAAATAAAACAAACATCAGCATAAAAATTGATAATGTACTTACTGCGAAGTCGTGTAACAATCGCAAAATACTGTCGTTATTTGTAAGCTTCGGTTTGTCCTTTTACACGTTCATGTATGTTTATTATTAGTGGATTATACGATTTTAGATAGAAATATGTATGCATTATTAGAGGCTTATTATGATTTTATATACAAATTCATAGTTTACTACAGGACAAACACAAAAAAAGACGACGTAAGTCCGATCTACAGATAAAATAAATCCAAAACAACACAATAAGAACTTGGTTTTAGGTATAAAACAGCTCTACGACTTACCTGATCAGACATGGTTTTCTGTTCACTTTTGTGCAATTTCTTTATTCAGCGGATGTCTTCTTTTCTTCAATCGTGAACACTCTTCAACCAACAGGTAGTGGACCTGTTGATGTCTGAATACACACTCAAGACACCGGCAAGACACTGTTTGTTGACTTTTGCGACAGTGCTGAGTTGCTTGTGGCCACTAGGGGCGCTAAACGTGAAAGTTGCAGGTCTAGCGCCCCTAGTGGCCAAGAGTTACACGGTGTGCCTTTAACCAACAATTGATCTATGTGTTTTACATAGACTGTAAACATGAACGGACAAAGTCACGCCTTTTTCCAACATTTAAAATAATGTGCCATCACTTCTGGCTTCTATGGGGCTCTTTCAAAATGGCTGCGGGCAGCCCCTCCCACAAGAAAATGTGTTAGCCGGCACCAGTGTTGTGCCAGTTCACAACTTTTCTGAACTAGTTCAAGTTCAGTTCATCCATGCTCAAAGTGAACAGTTCACGTTCAAAGTTCACAATTTTAATTCTGAACTAGTTCAAAGTTCAGTTCATTTTACCTTTTTTGTGAAATAGTCAAATACTTTTTTTCACTCTACGAGCTATAATATATATATATATATATATATATATATCTCTAGTACACCCACAGGAGGAGAGCCTTTTGACTACAAAACAGACCAGATTTACATGGTTTTCAATGGGAGCCAAACAGAGTTGCTCCATCTCTGCTCATAAACTACAGACAGTAATGCGCTGCAGTGCGTGTGTCTATACTTTATGTCAAATGTAAACGGTGTAAACTTTGTCGCTAACTCACCCTGTGTTTTCATCACGACTTGGGCACATGTGAAAAGCACCAGCTCACAGCGCCGCAACACGGAGTCGGGGTGCGTTCACAGACGGTGGAAACCGTAGGAATTTTTTGATTTCGGCGGAAAAAGTGCGAGAATACAGGAGGGAGGAACTTTCTCTTGTTGCGTTTCAAAAGAGAAAACAGATTCCAACGTTCATGACACATAAAATGAACTAATTCACGTTCAAGTTCTTTTTTTAAAAATGTGTTGCGTTCAGTTCAACGTTCACAAAAAATGAGCGTGTTCAATGAACGCGTTCTTTTGAACTCGTTCACGCACAACACTGGCCGGCACTAGCCTTATGAGGTCCACAGCGGCTAAACTAGAGTGGTCCAAAAATATATACTTTTAGACCATCCTGTAAAGTAGTTATCGAGAGGAAAGAAGTTGCCATACAAAAGCATTGGATAATTCTCGTTCTGGGTCCACTCCCACTGGCTCGGAGTAGGATTGCAAGCATGCTCCATGAGCACATGCTCATGGACGTTTTTGAGCCCCCAGTGGGGGGTACACACTCTTGTACTAAACATAAAAAGTCCTGTGCATTTCCCTGCACTTTCTTGTGTCTCTCTCTGCCGTTCACATAAACACTGAAGCAGGTACTGTACATTTGGTCAAAACCGTGTAGTCCTAGTATGCATCCTGCCTTGCACTGTTTCTGAATGTATAATGTATCCCCAGCATCTGACAGAACTGCTATAACGTTCTTCAGTCAATATTTGTCTAATCCCATTTCCCATGTGTCCACAGAATCCATCCGGTGTGCATAAAGTTAAGGGATCTGAGTTGAACAAGCCCAGACATAATGCTTGAGTCGACGACGGTCAGTGGAGCGTAAGCAAATCCAACCTCATTTAACCTCCGCAACAAGAGAAAACAAGTGAAGCTGCTTGTAGAGACCAAGAGCAAGGCGCACGCCTTTGTTATATTATAAAATAACTGTTGCAGTGGCTGGCACAAAGCAACAGCTTGACAAAAGCAACAGTGACCCTGTCCTGACCTGTGGATTATCAAGTTCCATTGTCACTTTGTATTACCGGGACACAGACAAGACCCGTGACAATATTGCACAATAATCTCCCGGAGGTCTCTCAGTCAGAGTGATGGACACATGTGTTATTTTAGAATGACATTTGTAGTTCATGTGAGTGGAGTTTAGATAACCCAAATGTTAACATCATTTATAGTGTAACACTGTTTTATTGGTGAGTTTTAAATACTGAAATGACAAAGGAACTGCATTCATTACATCCCATTTGTCAACTGTAACCACTTGTGATATCAGTCAACTTTGATTAATTATTCAGCCTGAAAGTCAACACTCATCATCTTGTAATTTGTAGACAAGAATCTAATTGCTAAGCGCTTGCCTGCTCACATTATTTTTTGTTTGTTTGAGATGACTGAAAATAGTTTATTTCAGGCTTTAAAATGTGGAATATGTGACAAACACATTCATCTGCAAATCCTTCTTAGAATTCGCCATTTGGCAACATTTTTGATTGCGTGCCAACGGAGTTTAGGCCGCAGCGCCCAGAGGGCGGTGTGACACAGCGTTGAGCCAGTCCTGTTCCAAAAGTCACTTTTAGGCACTAATCTCCTGCTTATTATCAAGACTTATTTTTCCTAATTCAATATCCGGAGTTATGCAACTGCAAGTAACCAGTATTTGGAGGAAGGAAGAGCAAAACAAGAAGAACAAAGAGCACAGATTCAGAGCATGTACGAGAGACAAACAAGCAATATGTCCGTCCCTCAAGCATCTCAAACAAACTTCAGTCAGATGTCTGTAGGACGACTGTAGATGCAAGTACAACTACTTTATTATATAAAGATAGACTGATTTGTTGAATGAAGAAAGCACTTTGTATCTTGCCAGAATGTTTCCTAACCCAATAAATGAAAGAGCACATCCCACTTCACCAGGTTTTGGGTTGTGACGATCAGTTGTTGATGTTGGATTGACTGGCAGTATATTTGCGAACATGACTGGGCTTTGAATTGTATTATGCCACTAAACATACTGCAAAACTTATGACTATATTGTGTCGCAAGTATCGAATCGACACCCTTTGCATGGTGAGTCGTGTTGTGATCGCCGTATCGTTACAGCCTAAAAACAATCCAATCATAAATGTGCTAAACCAAGCCAGTGAAAACATGTCAACCTTTAGTAAAATAATTCCACTCATGGTTTAGGAAAAGGAAAAGTTACACTATTTTAAATCGATCCAACTGTTTGTGGTTTGCTCATGTTCACAGATGAAGTTTGATGTTGTGTTTCTTTTTAACAGACGTGTCCAAACTAACGGTGGCCAGCTGTGTCATTTAATGTGGCCCTCTGCTGCTAACACAAAGTGAGGTACTTTCACAGTGTCATCCAGCCATCTTCAGCTCCACCAATAAAGTTATGCTAGCAGTAGTTCACATTATCAATACAAGGTCACATTTGTTTTTGATAATGTGTTTTTTCATATCACTAATGTAGACATGGTTTGGATCAATAAGCAGAACAGCCTGAATCCAGTCGAATTTTTTTTACAATGTTGTCGGCCCCTGGACAAGTCTGGTGAACATAAGTGCTTTCTCATTGATTTTGGATGAAATAGTTGACCTCGGATCACTTATAATTTTTTCCCTTGACAGATTGAAACTATATGACAAAACATAAACATTCACTCTGACATCATTTTAAAACAACTGTACGTACTGTTGTCTGTTTTTACACATTTTCCACTTTACCGCTGTGAATCTTCTGGAACAATACTTGAATATGATATGATGCACCGGCCGAATCAAGCCAGCTTTGTTCTGCATAGTGAAAAAAGCCCATTCCAAAGAAAAAGCCATTCTCTGTCTGATTGCCTCTTCTGCAACTAAAAAGCACTTCTCTTTTGAGCGTGGTGCCATAGCAATCTGCTCCTCGCCTCTGTAATTGTCTGCGCAGCGAACATCTTGTGCCGTTACACAGTGTTTTCGCCAGCCGATCTTTACAAAGCACAACATTAAAGGAAGTTAGCGGGCTTCTTTCCCCCCTCCGTTGGTCTTTGTCTCTGGCTGGGTGGTGTACGTCTTGTCCCGTCACACCGTGTGTATGTGTGTGTGTGTGTGTGCGCGTGTGTGCGTGTGTGTATGTGTGTGTGGGACTGTGACACAAGTGAGAAGTGAAAAGGCAGGATCGGCCTCGCAGGGAACAGCGTCTGCTCATAACAACTCGGAACACTGTGATAGCTCCGAGAGAAAGCAGCTCTCCAGTCGATGTGTCGCTGTGACAATTCCCAGAAACTCCTGCCAAGTGCGACCAAAGGAGACGGCAAGTTTCAAAAGGGAAAGGTGAATTTGACACTGGGCTAAAATTGGGTCCAGAGCCCAAAATAAAATGGTGGTTTTTATTATATATTATTGTCTGATAATGAGCGCAGTTTTCTTATTTCAAATCTATATCTAACCCTAATTTCTTTGCTCTTGACATCCCACTCATCTAACTTGTTCATTCACAGAGTTTGATTTAATAAAGTTGTAAAGTTACAAGATTTCACATTCTGTGTCATTAATAGTGAATCATTGTGCTGTGTTGGTCACTGTAATATTACCTCTAAAATGTGAGTGCTGGTCCTATTTGTTAAAAGCCCTCATTAAATTAGGTTGTGGGTGGTGTGGTAGAAAGAGCACAACATCCAGTCATTTGTGAGAACAGGTTGAATTAGAATGGAATAAAGGCCATCTGAATGTGTTTATGAATTTCAGTTCTGTTATGAAACATCAAGCACATTTCCCCTCCACAAGATCATTCTCA